CCACGTTCTCCATAGGACAAGGCCACCGGCCCATCTGTCTGCAGCCCCGTGGGGCGGGTCTCCCAGAGCCACAGCCTCACCTGCCCCAACCCCTGCCATGCAGGTTGCGAGGGAGCCCAGTGCCATTTACTGCTGGGCGGAGGGCCCAGCTCCTCCTCCTGTGACTCTGACTCCCAGACCACTGTGAGAGGGAACCCTCCCTGAGAAGCAGGGAGCATCTGGCCGCTGCCCAGGGAAGGGTCAGGGCAGGAGTTATGGAGCCCACAGGAGAGGTTGAGACTAGCTTTCTATGCAGCCTGGAGAAACACAGGCTCTCTGGCTCACAGGCATTCTGAAATCCTGCCATCCCATGGAATCTCAGCAGTAGAATCCCTGAGCTCAGGGACCATCCCATGGACCCTTGCATGGTGCAGCTGGGGAATGAGCCCAGCATCATAGGCAGCACAGCACAAGGCGCCAACCAGCAGCGAGGGGTGACCGGGGGCAAGGGCATGGGCTCCGGCTTGGGGTGGGGAGCCTGGGTCCCCGATCAGACCCACAGTTGTCTGCTGGGGTTCTGGGCAGATGACTGCCCCAGAGCTTGTTGGCCATGTGTTGTGGTGCCCCCTGCTGGCAGGTGGAATTCCACCATGTAAGTGTAGCACGCGACAGGGTGGAGGAACTTGAATTTCAGCGCACAGGCCCTGCAGATTCATTTACCTTCCTCCGCCTCAGTCATGGCCTGTGATTAGCCTGACCCCAGGTGGGCCTCCGCCTCCAGCTCTAGGTCCTCCATGCCGAGCCTCCTCTCAGCCCTGCCTTCCTGGGGGAGCCACCTGAGAGACTGAGTGGGGAAAGGCTGCCATCCAGCTGCTGCTGCTTGCCCTGGCACACAGCTCCAGGGGACGTGGTTCACAGCGCTGGGAATACAATGTGAACAGCACCCTGCGGTTTGTGCCACCAGCCGCCCCCCACCCCCGTACCGGCCCACTGGCTACCCGCTGGGGGTCAAGTCCCACCCCTACAGAAGGTGGGCTGCCATCTGGTATCAGCTCTTGGAGGCCAGAGTGAGGTCACGGGGTCACGGGGTGAGGTGGCGTGGGGGCTGAGTGGTGGCTGTCACAGGGCACAGAGAGGGCAGTGGCCTGAGGACCAGGCTCAGCCCACATGCAGCCCAGAACCTGGAGTCCCCCTGGGGGTGGGGTTGCAAGTCCTGACCCTGGCTCCCTCCTGGGAAGTCCAGCAGCCTCTGATGTAGCAATCTGAAGCTTGGGCCCTGCCGGCCCACCTGCTTGGTGCTCAGCAAGGTGGGCTTGGAGGTCTCTCAAATCCATGGTGAGTGTGGGAAAGGAGCCACGACTGCAGGCAGAGAGGCTGCTGGGGCATCTGGCGACCGAGCAGGTCAGACTTGCTGTCCAGCTACCCTCTGGGCCCAGAACATGAGCAGGTCAAAGGCCAGAGGGGCGTGGCCATTTGAGGTTAAGGAGCCTTGAAAAGAGAAATCTGGGGCAAAATAGAGGAATTCATGCTTTGGGACACAGACAAGGGTCAGGTCTGTTTTGCCATTGCCATGCTGTGTGGCTCTGGGTAAGTCATCTCTGTTTTGAGTGCAAGCTCACCCACCCCGGATGATGACGGGCACACCCAATTTCTCCAGGCCCCTGAGTGTGGCAGCCCCGTCTATTCCCTCTCCCCCACCTTCCCTCCATGCAGCATTTGCCCTGGGCCCCTTCCCAAGCCCAGCATCAGGGACTCTGCCCCTCACGTGTTGCCTCCCTCCTCAGGCCAGCCCTGCAGTTGCCTGCACTGCCTGTTCACCTGCCTCTGCCAGCCACGGCCCTCACTGGCCATTATTGGGCCCAAAATAGCACTTCCCCTTGCCGCTTCCTGCAACCTGGCCGTGGCTTGTCTGCCAGGACAGACATTTGGCAGGCGTGCCAGAGATGTGAAGGGCTCTCAGAGGTCACCTGGGGCCGGAGAGGGGCAGGCACTTGCCCAGGGTCGCACAGTGAGAAGGGGCCAGGGCTGCAGCTGGAGTTTGGGTCCCTGCATCGCCCTCGCTTCCCTCCCAGCCCCTAGCCAGGTCTAGGCCGGGACCTGAGCCAGACTTAGTGCTCCTTCTGCCTCGGCCTCTGAACCCGCGAACAAGCACCAAGGCTGCCTGGGGGTGTGCAGCAGGGCCCCTGGAGGCCACTGATCCTCCCTTCTACTTCCCCTGGCTCCTAAGGTTCACTTCCTGACTACAGGCAGCCTTCCTGCCCGGGTTCTCCTCCCCTTTACTACCTAGCCCCAGTGCTGCTTTACTGTGTGACCTCAGCTAAGTCCCGGGCCCTCTCTGTGCCTCATCCTCTCCGTTAGGTGCTTGGTTGAACGGAACCCTGTGCTGTGTCCCTGCCCCATGCGACTACATGGAGCTCGTGACAAAGAGAAAATGGCTTTTAGCTCTGATCTCTTCCCTCCTCCAGGGCCAAGGCTGCACTAAGGAACGTGAGCCACAGACTTCGTGAGTGGCTCTGTGGCTCTGGCTGCACCCCCATCCTCCAGCACGCGCGTGGCTGCCTTTCCTCAGGCACGGGTTAGCTGCGGATCCAGGCCCTGCTGCTCAGTAGAGGCGTGGCCTCCAACGTGCCAGCCCCATGAGGGATAGAGATGACCCACGCTCCCGGCTCACAGCGAGCACTCGGCGAGTGGAAGCTGGGGTTGCTGGTGGGCAACGTTCAAGACCTAGAGTCAGTTCTCACTAGAAAGCTCCAGAGTTAATTCAACAATTATGCATAATTAATTCAATTATGCATAATTAATTCAACAATTATGCACCGCACCTACATGGGTGGGTCAGGCACTGCCACAGGGCGGATGGCACACAGGACAAAACCAAGCGGCACCCTCACAGAGCTCCCATTCCAGCTCCCCTGCCTTTTCTTCTTTGCCCAGTTCTACTCAGGCCTATCCCAGGGGCCCCTCACATCAGGCTCCTGCACCCACCCTTGGTTCAGGCCACTCCCTCTAACATCAGACCCAAGCCCCCTTTTCTCCTACCCAGGTGGCCAGCCATAGCCACGCCCCTTGAAGCAATGTTTCCCCACCTTGGCTCTCAGCTAGGAGCCAGGGAGGTGGTGACTGGAGGGTGCCTGGGGAAAAGGGAGCTCCTGCAGTGAGGAATGGTCACCAAGTGCCCCCCCACAATGTGGGTACTTCTTTGTATCTTACACTTACAAAGAGTCCTTGCAAAACACTGATACCTGGATTGCACCCTAACAGGAATGGGATGGGTCTGGGTCCCACAGGCGAGTCATACACAGCCAAGGCTGAGATCCACTGTCTTAGCAGAGCTAATCCATGCAGGGGTCTCCCCGGGCTTGGGCCTGACTGGTTCTTCCCAGACCTCCCTGCCCACAGCCGGCCAAAGACAGCTGTTTAGGGCCTGCCCAGTGCCCTGGGAGGTGGCCTTCTCTGGCACTGCGGGCTGGGCCAATCTCATGCCAACCGCGGTGCTCAGCTGGGAACCTGGTGAGACTGGCCTTGGGGTGTGCAGTGCTAGAGCTGAAGTCTGCCCCAAGACCTCTGTGCTGAGGGGTGGAGGCCCTGAGGCAGCAGAGCTGAGCGCAGGGGAAGCAGTGGTGGCAGCAAGGGAGGAACCAGCGACCAGAGGGGAGGCTGAAGGTTCCGAGACGGAGCTTGTCTGCCCACTGCGTTCTCTGGCAGCTACTTGCTGCCACTTTGCTTCCCCGCAAAAAAGCACCCCTTTTGTTTTAAAGTGGAGTGGACTTTTCTTGCATTCCTGTGACCTGTGCACACCAAGCAACGGCCAGTCCTGTGTGGGGAGGAGTCATCGTTCCCATTCCACAGAGGAGCAAGTAGAGGCTCCGAGAGAATTCCACCAGCCCAAAGCCACGTTAACTGGTTAGTGGCAGTCAAGCTTTCAAACCAAAGGTGTGTCCACCTTCGATGCCTGATGCTGTTTCCTTATCAGTTCCACACAGCCTACCCTGGGCTGTACCTGTATTTGGTATAGCCCCCTCCTGTCCAGTAAAATGCTGCCGTGAGGACATGTTCCATTCATGTCCTGTGGTATCTAGGACCCAGCCAACGGATCGCCACTGTGGCACTGGTTAAAGCCACAGCCTGCAGTGCTGGCTTCCCATGTGGGCGCCGCTTCGAGTCCCAGCTGCTTTGCTTCCAATCCCACTCCCTGCTATTGCACCTGGGAAAGCAGTGGAAGATGGCCCAAGTGCTTGGGTCCCTGGACCTAGGTAGGAGACCCGGATGAAACTCCTGGCTTTGGCCTGGCCCAGCTCCTGTCATTGTAGCGATTTGGGGAGTGAACCAGCAGAGGGAAGATCTCTAAGTCTGCCTTCAAATAAATAAATCTTTTTAGAAGAAAGCACCCAGCTGACTCTGGAGACATGCGCACAGCATGAGCCCATGCTCCCTCAGGAACCCATTTCTCAGGTCAGAAGTGCCTGTGCTGGGCGTGACCACTCTCCTGGCAGTTTGGCAGGGGTGATGGCCCCACATTGCGGCACATCTGCATTCTCACAGCTCACCTAACGACACCCCTCCTTGGACCAGCTGTGTCTACCTGTGCTCCAAAGCCTGGCCCCACCTTTAGCCTTTGTCAGGCTTCCTGGCCGTGAGCCTCGCTGGAGAAGTTTCCTGGAAGGGCCTTGGACAGGCGCCTTCCTTGCCTGCCACCCTCCCCAACTGCCCGCCTCAGCAGCTCCCGACTGACCAACGCATCCATTACACTCATGCAACGTGTGCAAGGTCTGCATTTGCGTATGTTGTCCACAAGGGACTCCGGCAAGGCTGTGAAGCACTGGACTAAAACAGCCCCTTTGTTTTCCAGAGGGGGAAACCACAGCACAGACCTGCCCGGGGTAACACCGCAGGCCCGTGGCGGCCGCGCCGTCCCCGCCCCCTCCTGCCTCTGCAGGGCCTCTTTTATGCCCAAGTGAGTCAGTGTCGGGAGGCAGGGCCCTGATGCAGCTGGCAGGAGGCCACCACGACCGCCATTGGGCTACAGTCATTTGGTGTTTCTATTTATTGACTCTTTAAACTTCATCATCCAAGGAGAGTTCATACAAGACTGTTTGGTAGCAAGAGAAATATAATCTAAGACCGCAAGGACGCACCCACCCCGAACAGAAACAAACCAAATGCAACAAGTCCCATCTGAAACCAGACCTTTGCAGTTGAGCTGCAGAAGCGGCGCGGGGTGGGGGAGGGCTGCGGGTCGGACCGGCTCCCTGCAGGGCCGACCACCCTTCACCGGGAGGCTTCCCAGTGGACAAGGCCACAGCCAGGCCAGGCCCTCAGCTTTGTGGGGGGTGGGGTGGGGGTCCTTCCTGGAGGGGCTGCCCCTGGCAGGAGGGCGTGTGGCGAGGGAGTCGGAGGTCAGAGGGAGGGGGCTTCTCAGGCGGGCCACCCTCCAAGGTGACCGAGTGTGCCAGTGCATGAGACACGGGAAGGCAGGGGCTGGTTATGGTGAGACCAGGACAGAGTCCTGTCCAAGGCCAAATCAGTAAACCACTGGAGGCCCCGCCTGCGACCGAGGAAACGCCAAAGCCTGGGAGAGCCCCCGCTGGCAGTCAGCGTGCCCTGGGTCATCAGCTTGCTCTGGGTGACCGGGCACGCCCAAGCAGGACAGGGCCTTGGGAGGCTGCTGTCACGGGGGTGGCGTTTCTGTGCCCTGGATGTGCAGCGTGGGTGTGCGTGTGCGTGTGCGTGTGCGTGACGGGGTGGGAGACACTGGTCCCTCCAGGAAGGCTTGGTTGGGGTTCCCAGGGTGGCCCCAGGGCAGGAATAGGTTTTTCTCCCCCTCCTGTCATTTTCCCAAATCCCCCCCGCCCCAGGTCATCGCATAAATAAGTGCTCGGGAAGGTACACATCTGAAAAGAAACATAAATACTGTACACGGGAAAGGAGTCCATCCCTCAGCCTTCCCACTGCCCCAGCAGACCCTCCAAATATTGCACATGGCCTTCCCCAGCCCCGAGGGTCCAGGCCCGGCCGTGTCTTTGGTAGAAGCTCCGGGGACAGAGGCCCCGGGTAGCCCGCACAGCCCCCACCCTCGCCGTGACGGGCAGCAGCGGAGCAGCCGGCTGGCCCATAGGTATTCCATCAGGAATGCTTCCACTCAGACGAGACGGTGCCCACAAATGGCCCTGGTGAGACGTTCCAGGCCAGGACGAGGTCTACACGTGGGCTAGGAAGAGGCAAGCAGGCTGAGGGCAGGTGGACAGTCGAGTCCTGAGCCACGGCGGCCAGGGTCACACCCTCCATAGGAGGAGGTGGTTTGTGCTGTCGTCTCGGCCCACGGTCTCACTGCTGCTGCTGCCGCCACCACTGAGCCGGAAGTCCTCGTAGCCATCGCCGCCACTGATAACCAGCATTTTAGGCCTGGCGGAAGCAGGGCCTCGGTGCCGAGGGGAGTCCCGGTGCTCCAGTGTTGGCAGCTTCTCTGGGCCTGGGAACAGAGCAGAGGGGCTCCATTAGGCCTGGGAAAGGGGACTTCACCGTCCCCTCACAACCTGAGCACCCACAGCCTGGGAGACAGGAAGACAGATGTGCACACTTGCTGCGAGGAATTCTACTTCCTGTACGCTAACAACTCCGTACATGGAAAGAAATACCCAACTCCTAGCAGTCAGACCGCTCGTCTCCTGTGGGTGCCGTCTGGGCAGGAGTGACCGCTTCCCAGGGCCACACATGTTCTGTCTCTCTCCACTACTGCACACACAGCGTCCTCATCGCTATCGCCACAATCACAGACTGTGTGAATGACGGCAGCATGCGTGACGGTGGTCCCCAGGATAGGGGGCGTGATGAAAAATCTCTACCACCTGGGGACACGACAGCAATGCATTACGCACATGTGTCTAATGTGTCTAGGGGAACCAGCCCGCTCGCTGCCAGTCATTCGTGGAAGCAGAGCACTTAATACTGATAACGGCAGTACACGCCATGCCATCGGTTCACGCACTTACTACGCTCTATATCAAGAGTTGCGTGTCCTCTTTCTGCTTATGAAAGCGAAAGCTGACTGTGGAACAGGGTGCTGCGTCCTGCACGCAGCAGCCTCGCACGATCCCATTTTGCATCTCTCGGCCGCACAGTTTTCTCCTGTGCCTGATTTGATCGCACCCCGTTTTGTTCAGCGTGGCCCTGGGCGCGGTGGGCTAGGCCATGTGCATCTATTCCATAGAGCCTTGGAGCACAGAAGCCCATGCCACGTACCCACCTCTCACGTTCACACAGCGGCGGACCTGCCACACGAGGCATCTCCCCGAGCACGGTCTTGCTGCTAAGTGGCCCAGGGCTCCATGTAATCCCACCGCCAGCATCCCCTCCCAGGCAGGCAGCTGATGGCCTGCCGGGACCAGACAGCTTCGGACCGAGGCTTCACCGCCTCCTCCACGAAGACCGCTTCCTGCCGTTCACTCTAATTCCCAGGTCCACTTCCTGTCCCTGTGCGCACACATTCTGTGTGTGCTTGTGCTTTCTGGTGTGATCTCTACTTCCTGTTCTGTGACCTCACTTCCTGTCCGACACAGGCCCTGCTCCGTTTCATGCGGTGCCAACTTTACTCGTTAGCTTACAGTTCTCTGTCTCCCACGACACTTCTCTGCACATACGCTGTCCCAGAGATGTCACTTGGGGTTTCCCTAGACTATTTTCTGTATTACATGCTGCTCCCGGCTCTGTACTACATTTCCCCTCCCCCTTAAAAACCTCTCCCTACAGGGCAGTGGGGAGACCTCAAGCAGAAGTCCAGGACCCTGGGGCGTGGTGGGATGTGCCAGCCCACCTGTGTCTGGGGGAGGCGGCGGCGTCGGGCAGAGCAGGTTGAACCCATCCGGCAGCTGGACTGCGGCCAAGAAGCGCACATGGCCAGTGTGTCCCTGGCCCAGGCCGGCAGGGCTGAGAGGCACCCGCGGGCAGCTGACGGGACTGGGCGAGGTGGGCATGGTGAGCACGACGCCGGCACTCGTGCCCACCCACAGCAGCTCTTCACACACCAGCAGTGCCGTGATCCGCAGGCAGGCGGCCTTGTGCTGCCGGATGATGGCATCAGAGCCTGGGGGTGGGGAACAGAGCGCAGCTGGGGCCGAGTCCTCAGCCCGGCCCAGCTTCCTCAATGCCCAGGGCCCCAGAGGCTCCGGGGCAGGGGCGGTGGCAGTGTGAGGTCAGTACCTGCCAGCATCTTGTGCACCGGAGGGGTGACGTCCACCTCTGCCAGCTGCTCAAAGGTGTCTGAGTGGTAGAGACACACGTGGGCACTACCTTTCAACGTCACCCAGACCCCCAGGCTGGAGTCCACCATGCAGGCCACGCTGCGGCTTGGATCCTGCCCTATATGAAACGTGTGCTGGGAAGGAGAGAGGGGAGAGAGCAGGTGGTCCACAGGCAGGCCTGCCCCCCGCCGTGCCTCCCAGGCACACTGCCCCGCCCCCCCCCCGCCCCCCCCCGGTCCAAGTCACAGCAAACCTCTCCAGACGCCCTCCCGCCTGACGGCAAACTCAGCCGTGGTCCTTTGGTTTCTCTGGCACCTCCCACATAATCCTTCCAACAGACTAGGGAAACCCTTCCCCACGAAGCTCAGGGACTGCAGGACCAGAGAACTTCAGAGCTTGAAGGGTTTTAAGACCAGTTGTCGGTCTCTCCCCGGCAGATGGGGAAGCCGACGCCCGGAAGGGAAAAGCAATCTGCCCAAGGTCGCAGAGCTGGGACTGAACCCAGGCCTCTGGCCTCCAGCCCGGCCAGTGATGGAATACATGAAAGGGAAAGCAGGGGACTCTGCCGGCCCTGGACCCCAGCCAGGCTGGCAACCCTTGACGTGCAAGGAAATGAGGCCAGGACTAAGGCCAGAGTCCAAAGCTAAGGGATGTGGACATCAGCCCCCAAAGACCCACACCTGAGCTGAGCTGAGTAGGGCAGGAGACCATTAGGGGGCCAGAATCCCCATGCTCAAGCAGAAACAAGGGTCAGAGCTCAGGGCCCCCCTGGAGTCACCCACCCACCCACCACAGTCTCCTTTCCCTCTTATGTGGGCCCAGCCAGTCCCAGGTCCCCAGTTCCATGGCCCCGATCCCAGGCTACCTCCATCTGCAGTGTGTCGGGGCTCAGGACCAGGACTCGGTTCTGGCAGCCACACCACAGCCGCCCGCCCACAGACACCATCTTGGTGATAGGGCTCCCCTGAGGGCCCAGGGTCACAGATTTGAAGTTCTGAGGGTCCCAGAAACGGCCTAAATGGGATAAAGCAAACAGGAGACTTGGTCCAGGACTGTTGTTAAGCCCCACCCTCTCTTGAGATGAGAGGCTGGGGCCAGCACTATGGTGTAGCGGTTGGGTCATGTTCTTATTGCTCCACTTACAATCCAGCTCCCTGCTAATGTGCCTGGGAAAACAGTGGAAGATGGCCTGAGTACTTGGGTCCCTGCACCCGTGCAGGAAACCCGATGAAGCTCCTGGCTCCTGGCTTCAGCCTAACCCAGCCCTGGCTGTTGCAGCCATTTAAGGAGTGAACCAGCGGATAGAAAATCTCGTTCCCTCTCTAACTTTTTCAAATAAATAAGTAAAATCTTTTTTTTAAGCAAACAAAGAAGGAAACAGAAATCAGAGGTTAACCTCCCCATCTGTAATGGAGGACACTGAGGCCCAAGGACTGGCAGAACATCGCCCAAGGCCACCTCTCGAGACTCAAAGCCCGAGTCCCCCACTTGGCCCAGCAGAGAATGGCAAGGCCAGCGAAAGGACTGGGCTGGCGCGGGGAGGCGGCGGCGCGGCGGGCACTCACCTGCTTCCCTTTGATAGACTACGAGTTCCCCGTTGGCTAGGGACACAAACACCTGGTTATTCAGATACCTGGACAACGGAAAGAGGGAGGAGTCGGGCATTTCGGGAGGACAAAGGGGTCACCGGGGTCAGGGCAATCACTGTTAGAAGGGCTATGGATCCTGGGAGACCACCTCCTCCCAACCCGTTCTCCAGGTGGTGTGGGGAGCCTGCGGCCCAAGCTCACACAGCAGGTAAGAGGCACCGCCCGACAGAGAGGAGGCGCTGCGGAGCAGGGACCCAGGTGAACGGAGCAGGCCTGTGCGTGCAGCTGTGGGAGCCTTACAGGATGCAGGTGACGGAGGCCGCGTGCTGCAGCTTCATGCTGTTCCTGCGGTCACGGATGCTGTCGGAGGACTGGTACACGTGGACGCTGTGGACCGGGGTGCACACCTGTGACAAATGCTCTGGGCACACAGCCCCGGAGTCACCCCTCCACTCCCTGCATCTCCCAATATCTCCTCCAGGCCAGGCGCCTGCTCAAAGCACTGAGATCTCGCGGCCTCCCTGAGGCTTCCAGGCCCACTGGCACCCCTGACTGGAGGACCCGGGAGTCAGACCATAAGCCCTCCTCCTCAGGCCACTCTACGATGCCCAGAGCAGGGAGTACAAGCCTTTGTGTCCCTACCAGCCATCCTCGGTGCCCAGCCACACGGAGCTCTGGTAGGCCTCGGGGTCAACGCTCAGCAGGTCCTCAAGGCTGCCGCGGGTGAAGGAGCCTCGGCTGGAGCGGCGGAGGGCTCGCCCATCCATTGGGCTGGCGCCGCAAGGCCCGCCGGGCCCGAAGGAGCTGGACAGTGGCAGGAAGCCGGGCTCCTGCTCCTCCTCAGAGCTGGTTGTCTCTGCTGTGGCCTCCTTGGAGCTCGGGGTCTCCTCATCTGAGGGAGACAAAAGCGGCTGGCTCCGCGCCCCTCGGCCAGGTCTGGGTCTGTCTGGGCCTGCGGCGTCCCTCCCGGCTGTGCCCTGCTCAGGGCCTCTCCCTCTCTGGGAGCCTCTGTGTCAGCACTGGCCTCGTTACCCTGCACTCCAACCGCTTGGTGCTGCCAGCTCCCAGTCCTGGCATGGCCCCTTCCCGAAGTGCACCCCATCTGCCGGCACTGAACGCTATGGGGCCTGTGCGTTTCACCCAGGGGTGCGCAGCCCCCCAACCCCACTGCTCTGTGTGCTCCATTGTGTCCCTCCTCACCCTGGCCCTCTGCAGGCTACTCACTGCCAAAGCTGGAGGAGATGGTGGACCGGCTGGCCTGGCTCTGCAGGGTCCCCGAAGGGCTGGGCGAGGACTCGTCATCGGAGTCGCTGTCGAAGGGCACCAACTCCGGGCGGGGGTCGGCCTCCGCGCGGTCTGGTGTCATCTCCAGGCCGGAGCCTGCGATGGAGATGTGCAGGCAGGGCTGGGGCCCGGGCTCTGCCGGCGTCACGGCTTCCTCCTCTGCAGCCTCCGCGTCCAGGTCGGGCCCGGTGGGCTCCGGGGCTGCGTCGGGGACGCTCCTCAGGGACGCTGGCCGCTCCCTGTGAGCCAAAGGCAAAGGGACAGGGGCAGCTGGCACACAGATGCACCCCCGGGCCCACCTATAGCCGCGTGTACCCGGGCAGGGCCAGATCGCCCACCCCGCCTCCTGGGCCTCACCGGTGGCTGCAGTGCTGCAGGCCGGGCACCGCCCCGATGCAGAGGATGCGGGCCGAGCAGACCGCAATGCAGGCCTCCACGTCGGGCTCCGCGCGCAAGCTCAGCAGGCACACCTGGCCCACATAGCCGTCGCTGTTGCACACCCACACCTCAGGCGTGGGCTCCGGACAGCTGCTGAGGGTGGGAGCTGCACAGGAGAACTGTGGGGGACAGCAAGGGACAGGGGAGGTGACTGGGGGAACTGCTGCCTGTTCCCTGCAGGCCTTCTGAGCCACCCCAGCAGGTGGGAGGGAGGCAGGCCTGCATGTGTGTGCATGGGTGCCACAGACATGTATACATGACAGCACATGTGACACTACACACCAAACACATTCACGCCTGTGTGATACAGGCATCACCCACATGTACACATATATACCCATGCACAGTTACATGTGAAACACATCCCTACACGTGTGATAGGTACATGACAACCACATGCATGCACAGAGTGAGCTGCATGCTAAGACACAGGGAACAACTGCAATGTTTAAGACACAGATTGTACCCAGAAGAGCAATTCACAAACACATGCTGGATTGGAACGTGCACACCCAGGTGACCCACATTCACATGTGCGCACACACACACACACACACACACACCTGCATGCCGCTGCGGGTTTTCATGATGGGGATGGCCTTCAGGAACTCCGGGTCTAGACAGCTTTTGCTGGATGCTACAGTGCAGAGACAGCACCTGCTTAGCCTCTACCCCTCCCTGGCCCTGCCCTTTCCCCATTTTTCTTCCTCTCCTGCCCCTTGGGGTCTCTCTAGAGGGCACCCTAATGGCAGCCACACTGGGACAAGGCAGGTCACACCCTGCTTGTCCCTGGCCTCAACCTGCCCACCTTCACAGTGAGGGCGTCAGACCCAGAGGTCTCTAAGAGCACTTTCCCTGACGCAGGCCTGCACAGTGTCTGGGGTGGAGCCCCAGGAGGCTCTTGGCCACCCGCGGCGGTGATGGGGCCCTTGCCCCAAGCTGGCCCTATCCCCGGAACCCCTCCCCGCCCCCTTCAGTGCACTGTTCTACCATGGAGGTCCCAGTCCACCTTCCCCGCCAGCTGATGGAGCACCAGACTGCACTTCTGGGACTACCGGCTGCTGAGGTCCAAGACAGCTACGAGGTGTGCCCACTTCCAGGAGGTCCAGGCTCACCCAGCTTCCTCTTGGCCTCGTCGAAGGCCTGCTCAAAGCCCAGGCGGGCGTCGGGGTGGGGGAACTCGAAGATGAAGGAGTCGGTGCCCTCGGGCCGTGTGGCACACAGCTCCAGCTTGGTGGGCGGGAAGGACAGCGTGTAGCACAGTGCCTGCTTCTCCGACAAGTCCCGGTGCATGGCTGCTGAGAGGTCGCGCAGCGCATCGTCCAGGCCCTGCGGGAAAGAGGGCCCCGGCCGCAGGCCCAAGCGACTCAGTGCACCCCCCGTCTGCCCCTGGGAAGAAGGTGGGGACCTGCCCTTGGTGGGAGACAGAAAACAGGACTCCAATCTGCTCCTGCAGACCAAGAGGCAGCCTGGATTCGGCCCACAGGGAAGGACAGGCCCCTCCCTCCCTAGCGGAGGCAGAATTAGTCTCCACCCTCAGACCTGGAAAGTATTACCTCCCACATGGGGGTGAGCCTGTCCCCACCACCCCCACCCCAGGCAGATGACACCTCAAGGGGCCTCCTCCCTCAGATAGGGTCAAAGGCACCCTACCGCATCCTGCCAGCCTCAGGCAGGGGCTGCCAACCTGGTGGGGGAAGCCGAGGCTCTCGGAGAGCTTGCTCATCTGGCCCAGGGTGTTGAGGTCCTCATCGAGGCGGCTGATGGCTTTCTGGATGTTCTCCCGGTTGGTGGCCTGGGATGCCCCTGGTGGGGACAGAGAGACGGGTCAGGTCAGGCTTAGACGGACGGACACAGCTCCTCTCGCCGCACAACTCATGGCCAGGTGCGCAGAGTGACCAAGCAAACCAAGGCTTTACAGACCCCGAGCTCTCGGGAACAAAGCAGCAGGCAGCACCTCAGAAGGTACGCGCCTGAGAGCAAGGACGGGGCCTGACCCAGAGCCACGGGGCCAGGACGCAGCCCTCAGAGAACTCCCCAGAGAGGACAAGGTACAAAGTGACGGATGGCTCTGCAGGCTGTGGGGGCGCAGCGTCCCACGGGAGAGCTGCCAGGCAGGCAGAGCCTCCGGCAGCGAAATCTGCTGACCAAGGGCCTTGATCCCCACAAGGGAGAGGGTGGTGAGCGGATGCCCTGGATTCCTCTGCTCCCGCCCTGCACGTGTCGGCGGCCAAGGGGCCAGCCCTGCAGGACAGCTCAGCACCCCTGTATCCTGCGTCACCCGGCTCAGGATGCGTGTGGACGAGGGACCCACAGCCGGGGCTGCCCCTCTACCCGGGGGGCCAGGTGCACACACGTCTTGAAACCAAGGGAAGGAAGCAGCTTTCTTTTGCTTTTTCCTAAATGCCAGCAGCCTCTTCCATTTCCCGGAATCTGTGAATATAGGCCATTGCCTTCGGGCCACAGGCTGCAGGACGGGGCCATGACTGCATGGAGGAGAGAGGGTTCTGACCCTGGCAACCAGTGCCCATGCCGGCCCTGTGGTCTGGTCCCCGCTGGGGCAAGGGGCGCATGGCTGTAACCCTGAGATGCACTCGGGCTGCACAAGGAGGCTAGGGCACTGTGTCCAGGGAAAGAAAGGCGTGGGCCAAATGGAATGTTCTAGATCAGCTGAGGCTCACACATAGTGTGGTCTGGTCTGGGGTCTGTGTCCTCCCCCCACCCCAGATTCACACGATGAAGCCTAAGCCCTGACATGCTGGCACAAGGTGGTGCAGCCTTAGCGACGAGATGGAGTGGAGCCCCCACGAACTGGAGCAGCACCCTCATTAAGACACTTAGTGGGGGGGGGGGGGCAGTGGCGTTCCTTGACGCCGGCATCCCGCACAAACTCTGGTTTGAGTCCCAACTGCTCCACTACCAAAGCAGTTCCCTGCTAATGCACCCGGGAAAGCAGCAGATGACAGCCCAAGTGCTTGGGCCTCTGCCCCCATGTGGGAGACCCAGATGGAATTCCAGGTTCCTTGACCCAATCTAGGCTGTTGCAGCCATCTGGGGATCAGCAGATGGAAGATCTCTGTCTGTCTCTCAATCTCTCTGAAACCGCCTTTCAAGTAAATAAATCTTAAAAAAAAAAAAAGTAACAGAAAAAGCAACACATAAAACAGAGGCCTGCGCCTTTGGAAGGAAGGTACGGAGACACGAGGAACAGGCCCCAGACACAGGAGCTGCTGGCTCGGGAAGCGTGAGCAGCCGACATCAGCTGCTGTGTTGCAGTCTCTGGCCTCTTCGCTGCAGCAGCCCAGACAGCGTCCTACTCTGTCCTCCTCGGAAAGGGAACTGCCAGGACAGCCACCCTTTGTTCCGTCTGATCCTGCCCCACGGGCAGGCCCCTGACCTGAAGGCAGTGGTTAAACAGGCCTGTCCCCGGAAGAAGGGATGAGCTGGGGCCACATGGGGACAGCCCTGGGCTTGCCTCCCGTGGGGGGCCAGGTGAGCACCCCTCAGGTGAGCCTGGGCCCCACCCCCAGAGTTATGGTGAGACCCTCCAGTGAGGCTGGACAGATGGGTCCGCAGCTCCTCACACTCATGTTGGCTCCCCCTGTGCCCCGCAACCCGTCAGAAGTGGGTCAATGCACTCGGCTCCTCCATGGGTGCCATCGGGTCCCCTGTGCCAGCCCCCTTGCTCTGGGTGGGAAAGCGGCCCAAAGGCAGCAAAGCAGAGGGAGCGGCAGGCAGACTGGCCATGGCCCACACGCCCTCGGCAGGGTGTCCACTGCGACCCCCATGTGGGCCAAGCGAGGCCAGGCCAGGCCAGCCCACCCACCTTTGATGATGTCTGTGTCTTCCAGCGGCAGCTTCCACAGCATCTTGTACTTGCTGGCTGTGTCGATGACACTGGCGGCTGTGTACCTGCGGGGAGCCGACGGGCTGCTCTGGCCAGGGCTGGGGAACGGGGCCCAGGGACCCAGGGACCCAGGGCAGGACAGCCGCCCTCGCCAGCCCACCCCACCCGGCCACTCACAGGCTCATGGAGCTGCGCCGCAGGGAGCCCGACTTCCGCTTCAGCGTGGTGCACACAATGAGGTCAGTGAACAGGAAGAGGGACCGGTCCTTCTTGCCACCAATCGCCTTCTGTGGGGCCGAGGCGGGACTCAGGCTGGGTGGACATGGTCCAGAAGTCTGCCCACGGTGCCCAAGGGGACAGTGAGGCCCTGGGAGGGGTGGGGCTATTTCCCAGCTGGGACGGAAGAGCAGGGAGAGCCAGGCAGCAGGTATGAGCAGAAAGGTGGGTGGGGAGGCGGGCACAAGAGGGCAGATGATGGGACCCTTCTTACCACTTCAATGACCATCTCCTGCCTCAGGAACCGCCGCAGGGGGGCCTGGAGCTGTGGGACAGGAGGGCCAGGGCGTTCTGAAGGCTGCTTATCACTCCCTACAGCCCCAGCACCTAGGGTCTCTGCCACTCCCCACCCCCGCAACCGAAGCAGGTGCAGAGACAGACTGGGAAATGGGGAAGAGGACACAGAACAGTGGGGGGGCGTCTGACCCCCACCCAGAGGCTGGGAGACATGGACACAGACCACAGACCACGATGTGGACATAGCCACGGCCACGGCCACGACTCCACGTGACCGCAGACACAGAGCCTGAGCAGACACAGGGGCAGGCGGGGCTGGCCAGCACGCACATCCTCCATGCCCTCGATGTGAGCCTCGATCTCCTGCAGCACCCGGGCGTGCCGCTCAGCCTCCTCGGCGCTCCGCACACCCTTGTTGATGCGCTCGGCCACCTGCTTGATGTTCCGCTGCGCGTCCAGCAGGAGCGGGTGGTCGGGGTGGTCCTCAGGTGTGTGCTTCAGGAGGTCCTGGGGTGGGAACGGGGGCCAGGCCTGCCTGCTGAGCTGCCCTGGACCCACTGCTGGGGCAGAAGGACCTCCTCCCCCCGGCCCCTGGGGGCCCTCCCGTCAGGTTCAACCAGGCGGGGGCCTCGAAGCTCCAGGCCCTGCTCACCTTCACCAGCAGCTCATAGCGTGGGATCCGCTGCACGGGCTTGATCATGAGGTCGGACAGCGCCTGCTTCTCCTTGTTCTCGCGCATGCTTTGCTGAAACCAGAAGCAGGCGGATGGGCGTGTGTGCGAGGAACGGATGCCAGGAACGGGAAGGCACTCCCAGAAACAGGCTGCCAGCAAGCCCAGCCCGAGAGAAGAGGCCGACCCCTCGGGCTAGGGCTGCGGTGCCCAGGCTGGGAACTCCTGGGGCCTCAGCGCTGGCTAAGGCGAAGCCCCCACCGCCCCTGCCCCAGGCCATGCTACCTCCAGGAACTTGAGAAAGGCAGGTCTGGCCTCCTTGGCCACTCGCACGGCGTCCTTTGCGTTGAGGAAGTTGTCGATGTAGGCAGAATAGATGTTGACCAGGACATCCTTGGAGAACTGTGGGTAAGCAGGCAGGTTGGGGACCCCCAAGGCATACCTCACCTCACCCTCATCCCGGTCTTCTTCCCCATTGACTCGTGAGTCACCACTTGTCCCTGCAACTAGAACTGATACGGTCCCCGTGGGGTCAGGCACGTGCTTCTGTGACCCTCCAAGCACACGTGGTACGCGTGACTGTGTGGCCAGCGTGTGCTTGTGAGCGCAGGCAGACACGTTATAAAATCTTATCTGTGCATGCCAGTGTGCGTACACACACTCATGTGCCTGGATGTGTCCTGTGAGCCCGGATCTGCTTCTCTCACGTTTGAAAACATTTTTCATTTGTTTGAGAAGCAGAGAGCCACACAGAGACAGACAGACAAGCAGGGAGAGCTCCCACACACTCCCCAGGCTCTCTGACACAGGAGGGTGAACCTGACTTGAGAGACCCCAGGAGTTAGGTGCCCAAGCAGCATCCTGACCCCAGGACAAACACCCACCCGTCTCTCACTTGAAACTGGGTGTTTCTGTCCCTAGGTCTAGTGTCCAATGCCAGGTCTGGCCAGGCAGGTGTCCCTCCAAGCCACCCTCTAAGAGACAGAGACTCATTCCAGCTTACGCAGCTGCCTACCCCAGGAATGGTCTTCCCCATGCAAACCTCATCCCCACTCGGGGCCCAACTCCGGTTCTGCCTCCCCTCGGAAGCATTCCTGAGCAGGGCTCTGTGTGGTATTTATTACTCCTGGCCTCCGGGTTCTCCTGATCACCCAGGGCAGATCCCACCTCTGCAGAGCACCACTCCTACCCCATCCACAGGAAGACCTCGCTCAGGGCAGGTGTAGCCAGCTGGCAGCTTCGGCCTGGCTGTGGTCAGCATGGAGCTCCACTAGGAGGCGGAGCCTAGTGACCGTGAGGGTGGCCATGGGTTTGAGCTGTCACCACTCAGTCTGAGCTGATGGCCACATCAGTTCCCAGGTCAGCAGGGACATTCTGAGATGCGCTTTTGATCAAGGCCTCACCCCACATCAAAATGACCATGTTAACACACAGCCACACCCCACAAAAAAGATACTATTTTTTCTGCTTGTAACATTTGGGGGAAGGATTTTTTTTAATTTATGTGATTCCTCCTACAATTTAATTTGCATTTGGCTACCTTGTATCAGTCACCATCCTGCATTCTTGAGAATTTTGACAAAGTAACAAAATGTAACTCAAAGTTTTTCAAAGGTAACTAAATTCCTATAGAAAAACAGAAATTAACAAGGGAAGAAAAAGGCACACTGGGTGTTCAGATGTTCAGTAGAATGGCCATCAGTTTTCTTCTGTAGGTGCCTTTGAATTTTGGAGCCACAACCTTTCCTAAAGCCTCCATCATTGTTATAGGACCTGGGCAAGCTCGCAGGGGAGCTGTGGCCTGCGGTGAGAGGGCAGGTGGGGTACCGGAGAGCCAGGGCCTGGAACCAGGTTTCCTGGGGTCAAGTCCTCCACCACCAGCTGTGACTCTGGCCAGGTTTCCTCTCTGTCTACGCCTCAGTCATTAACTATCACATCAGATAGCTTCCTCCTAGGGTGCTGATACACATGATACATTCAGAATATGGCCCAGCACCGAATGAGTTTCAGACACCACAGCTGTTTCTATGGAAACAGCCCAACACTAGGCCAGCATCAACCAACAAGCCCACTTCCAGGGTCAGGATCAGGGCAGCTGTTCAGGTTCAGGTTCAGGCAGTGGCTAAGGTCAATACAAGCAACAAGCTGAGCATCGGGACCGGGTCAGAGTCAGGACTAGGGTCAGCTCAGTGCCAGCCAGGATCAGGGGTCAGTGTTGGGTCTGGTGCCAGTCCCAGAGTCCAGTCTATAGACTGGACTCTGACCAGGTTCAGGTCCACCCAGCGGCTGGGGTCAGCGCCAGTGTCTCTTCAAGTTTGGGGATGGGTTTGGGATCAGAGTCAGTGTCCAGGCAAGGTAGGGTGGGGTGGGGGGAGTCCTTGGTAGTATGGAGCCCCTCGTGGGAGGGGCCTGAGCAGCAGGGCGCAAGGGGCCACTCACCGACTGGACGAGAAGGGCTCCCACCTTCTGCTGGGCATGCCAAGTCTGCACGCAGTGCCGCACCTGCTCCAGGAACTGCTCGTGGTGCTCCAGGAGCTCTGGGATCTGGTCGAAGATCTCATCCACAAGCGACGGGTCACACAGCAAGGAGTTCTCTGGCTGCTTCAGTGGCTGCATGTAGCCCTGGGGGACCCATGAGGTCACTGCACACCCGCCAGAGACAGGCACCCCAACCCAAGCCGCACAGGTCCCCGTGTGAAGGCAGGTAGAGTCGCCTAGGCCTGCACTCCAGTGCCCAGCCTCCTGTACCTGCCTCAACTGACAAGGGGGCTCCGAGAGCCAGAGACAAAGACCCACCCCCATGCCCTCAGTACCCCCATGCCCTCAATGCCCAGCCCAGACATAGGCGACTGGGCTCAGAAAAAGTTTTGCCAGATGCATCAATAGACAGAGAGATTGGAGTGAGAACAGAAGACAAGGCTCCAGGCGGGACCCCCAGAGTCACTCACCAAATATGTACTGAGCACTCACTATGTGCCCGGCACTGTTCTAGGGCCTGGGAGACAGCAGTGAATGGGACAGAACCAACTCTCTACCCTGATACAGCTTATGATCTAGTTGAATGAAACATATAAATACAAGAAATAAGGAGGGGGCTGGCGCTGTGGCACAGTGGGTTAAGCCACTGCCTGCAGTGCTGGCATCCCATATGGGTACCTGTGAGTCTCAGCTGCTCCACTTCTGATCCAGCTCCCTACTAATGTGCCTGGGAAAGCAGCGGAAAATGCCCCCAAGTACTTGGGCCCCTGCACCCACATGGGAGACCTGGAAGAAGCACCTGGTTTCAGCCTGGCCCGGCCCCAGCTGTTGCGACCATTTGGGGAATGCACCAGCGGATGGAAGACCCCTCTCTCTCTCTAACTCTGCCTTTTGAATAAATTACATTTCATCAAATTTTAAGATGTAACATTATTTTGGTTTTTAAGAAAAGGACTTGCTGCCAATTGTTATGACACACCACCAATATCGCAGGATGAACCCTGATTTCAGAGACGCTCAACTGTGAAGACTGTGGGTGGTCTCAGGCCTGCTCCATATGGAATCCATGGTGATTGACAAGGGGTCCCTGCCCTGGAGAAGAGAGGGGAGGGGCAGGGGAGTTCCCTTGGAAGTCACTGGAAGCTCTCAGTGACACTGCCTGATGCTGTATCACTAGTTTCAGAACTGCTGGTCAGTCCACGACTAAAATTCCTGTTTTCACTTCAAATCTGCCTTCAGTGGTGTTCTGTATTATAAACAGCCCAGCTCAGCAGAGGGAATGCACATGGAGAGGTCTCCCTCTACTGGCCAATTCTGTAACTGCATGCCAAAGAAACATGAGGGTGTATTTGAAAAAACATATGTGATGCTGCAATAACATTTATATTAAACATTTTAAAAATATGGCTTGTTTTGTAAAACAAGTTGGAGAAAGTCAGGCTCAACAGATTCCTCGCCTGCTTGGGAATTCTGAAGAGGCCCGGCTGACAGCGCAGGGGTGGGCAGTGAGAGCCAGTGCCTGGTCTATGCCTGGTCTATGCCTGGTCTATGCCTGGGTCTCTGGACCCCGCAAGGAGCAGGAGCTACACTGCTCCCCTCCAGTGCCCAGGATCCTCGGAGAAGCAGGCGCATGGCGGGAGGAAAGAATCAACAGCCACCAAAAACCCAACATACCGCCTGCTACAAGCCCGGACTGCATTCACTCAACAAACGCCCACTAAGCAACTATTGTGGGCCAGCCTGCTGGGCCCTGGGCTACACTGGCAAGCAGATGAACTCCCGCTATCTGTGAAGCTGACATTTGGGTGGGGGGAGCAGAAAGAAGGCTTAACAAGTAAGGGAGTGGATGTGTATGTAGTTACCCAGAGCACTTGTCAGGGTAATCAGTGAAAGGGAAGTTGGGGGTTCGAGACAGGCCCAGGGGCATGAGGGTGAGGCTGAAGACGATGAGCTGCCACCTTGGTATTTAACTTCTTCGCCTAAAACTGCTGGCCTCCAGAACAGGTTCCCCAGTCTGTGTGGTAGAGACCCCTGGAGGGTGGCGGTGGGGGGCGCTGTTAGGGTTCAGGCAGTGTGGACCCAGGGGTTTCCTGCCAAGCCCTGCACTGGGCTCTGGCCTTGCTTCGCCATGTCTAGTTCATCCTCTGTGAGCCAGGAGCTATGGCGATGTTGCAGACCACTCATGGTAAGCACTCAGAGCAGTGCCTGCACATGCCAGCCACTCACCGAGCATCAGCCATAACCCTCGCTAGACAGATGACCGCGGGCAGGTCTCCTAGCCCAAGCCTTCACTTCCTATGCCACAAGGTTAAGACAGATTCAACACAACTTTACAAATGCACGCATGGAGTTGTGAGCAGTTTGCTAAGCGACACACGCACCTCTCGTGAACTGCACTTGAGGCACACACGGGGGAGGAAATCGTGGCAGACGCTGGTATGCTCCAGGTCACACCTCTGATCGCAAGTGGGAGCCAAGTGTGAACCCCAGCTGTTGGCCTGGCTCCTGAGCCATGCTCCACTTAGGCCCCTGGGCCAGACCTCAGTCCTCTGTCGCACACCCCACGGCTACCTGGAGCAGCAGTCCTGGGGTGCAGGTGACACCCTTCTGACCAGCTCCACCCCTCCCTACCCAAAGCTCTCAGACCGGCTCCCGCCACCTCCAGGTCCTGCACACCTTCCCCACATGCAGCCTTGTGCACAGCCTGGGAGCTGCAGAGGCAAGAAGACACCCCAGCCCTGCCTCTCCCAGTGCTCCACTGCTCTTGTCTGAGAACAGGCACGGGAGGTGCGGGGGGTGGCGGGCCAGGGTGGCATCACCTTTCTATCTCCACGCTGGGAGATGAGTATGATTTGGCAGGTGCGATGGAGGCTCACAGAAGTGAGGTGACTGGGTTCACTCAGCAAGGAGGCAATGACCCAAGACCCGGACCACCTGACTCTAGGGCGCCCCTTCTCCCCCGCACAGGCAATGGCCCTGGAGGCCCCTCAGGACCTTGCCCGTTACTGCTACCGCTGGGCATGCTGGTCCCTGCTCCAGCTCCCGAGCTCCCAGCAGGGTCCCCGCCATGCCCGACAGCCCTCAGGCCCTGCGTGGCTGCCTGCGGCTCCTGTGCAGAGAGCACCTCTCACTTCTGGCTTCCTGCGGCCTCGGGGACCTTCGTGCCTGGGGTGCCTCCACCTGCAGCCCTCCCCTCCCCCTGGGATAGCTGTCTTGAATTCCTGCCCGCCCCTCAAGTCCCCACTGAGCACCCCAACCACCCGAGCCTTTCCTGACCCCCCTCACCTCGGGGCAGGTCCCCCTTCTGTGTTCGCCTCTTCTGTACTTTTTCTCAGAAGAACACGATGTATTTCCTTGCACATAACAAGGCTATGCATTATACATAAGAAAATCTAAACCAAGATAAATGTAGCCACTTGAAGTGCAGCACAGTGCACTCACATTAAGTGCCTTTGGGCTGTTGTGTGACTGTCACTCACCACAGTCCATCCCCAGAACCTCCTTCCTCTTATAAAACTGAAAGTCTGTACCCATCCATTCCCTCCTCCCTGGCCGCCCGCAGCCACCGTCCTACTTTCTGTCACTACGGATCCGATTGCTCCAGGGACCCTCTGTCAGCAGACCCTTGTAGTGCCGACCCCCACGTGACTGGCTAATTTCATGGAGCAGAGCGCACTGCAGCCCGTGTCCAAACACCCTGGTCTCCGAGGCGGGGACCCTGCTGGGAGCTCGGGAGCTGAAGCAGGGACCAGCACATGCACTCGCTGTGCACCTGCACGACGCCACCCACTCGCTGTCTCCACCATGGCCCTCTTGTGTGCCAGGGAACAGGCTCTGGACACCACCGGACAATCCTCCCTGCCCGCCAGACACCACTGGACCATCCTCCCCGCCTGCCAGCCCCACCAGGATGCGGCCAGCGGAAGGGGCTCGCTGCAGACGTGTGCAGTGAATGGATGAATGTGCGCCTGCTTTGGGCGTCCAGGGCCCTGCCTTTGGGGCCCTCTGCTCTCACTCACACTGTAGCTCAACTCCACGCTCTCCACACTGGGCCCCAGCCCCACAAGTGCATCCAGGCTCCGGACTTCCCCACAAGACACCGGCACCTCAGGCGGTCCCACCTTCACCAAGCCAGGTGCCCCAGCAGCACCCTGAGTTTCCCCGCCTGGCCCATTTATCTCCCAAGTGCCTGCTCCCAGCTCTCAGCAGCTCCCCACCTCCTTCTGCCACCCACCCTCCCAGCAGCCGGACTCTGGAAAGCAAGAATCCCTGCTCAGAACTGTGGCTGACTCCAGGTGCGGCAGAGTCCAGCCCTCCCACGTCCAGGGTCCCTACAGCTGGCCCCTGCTGACCTGAGCAGTGTGACTGGGGGATCAAGCCGCCCATCGCAGGCTGGTCACACAGACTTCAGACTCTGCTGCTCAGAAGGCAGGTCTCAGCAGGGGCCAGCACCTCCTCAGTGCCCCTATGGTGCCCCATACATTCAGCTACATTCAGGTCCAGGACTACATTCAGGTCCAGGGGGCTGCTGGGAGGGGGTGCAAGGGCAGTGTGGGTGGGTGGGGGCCTCCTGCCCTGCAGGGGGCATCCTCCTCCTGTGGTGCTGCACAGGGATTCTCCACGAGGGGTGGCAGGTCCTGGGTTTCAATTCTCTGGCCTTGGCCCCTTGCCCATGGAAGGGGCTTGTTCCCACCTTGCTGTCACCTCTGAGACAGCCTCCTGGACTCAGAACAGCTCTTTCCAGGGGCCCGGGCCTCACCTGCATCAGGGTACGCAGCGATTCCACATAAGACTGCTCCGTGTCCAGCAGGGTCATGGTCACGTGCTTCCGCATGTCCTAGGGAGACAGGGACAGGGTGAGCAGTGCCTCGTTCCCCTCAGAGCCCATCGCCTACAGCCACGTGGAGCCCAGAGGGCCCATGCACACCTTCTCCTTGGACTTCAAGACAGCCCTCCCACCATGCAGGGCTCCTGGCTGGCTGTCTCCCGAAAGCACCTGCGCCTCCACTCACCCTTTGCTCAGGTGCTCCCCCTGCTGGAATGCCTGACCCCTGCATCCAAGACACACCTCTTCCCTCACGCCCAGACCACCCAGTTGTGGGAAGATCTGAAATCTCAGCTTTACTTCTTGGCTCTCAAAAAGGATCCTTTTTTTCTCCTCTAAGATCTACCTTATTTATCTGAAGGCCAGAATAACAGACAGACGGGAGAAACACAGAGAAAAAGATCCTCCATCTCCTAATTCACTCCCCCAGTGCCACAACAGGTGGAAGCCAGGAGCCAGGAACTCCCTCTGGGTCTCCCTTGGCCCATCATTTGTTGCTTTCCCAGGTGTACTAACAGGGAGATGGACTGGAAGTGGAGCAGCCAGGACTCACACAGGTGCCCATATGGGATGATGGAGTTGCAGGAGGCAGCTTAAGCTTTTTTTAAAATTTGTATGTATCTCGTAAATACATTAGGAACATGGGTAATTCTTCCCATCGCCCTCATCCTACCCACTGTCCCCCTTCCTCCCCCCTCTCCTATTTGGTCCAAGAAAGAAAAGAAAACAAAAATAAAGGAAAAAAAAGAAAGAATGGAATAAAAAAACCAAGAGAACTGCTCCGCAGCAATCTAAACAAGGGCTGTGCTTTGTTACTGCCTCTTGAAGGTGTTTTCACTTTCCCCCTTCTTCTTTTTCCTTCTTTTCTCCCCCTTTCCTTTTTGAAATTTAATTGTCTTTAAAGAAGAAACCAAGAATAATGCATCTTTTGTGAGCTCTCAGACATAACTACAACTTATGAGACAAGAATATCTTCCTTTTAAAATACTAAAAGGAAGTAATTCTTGAGAACAAGTTTTACTATTAAGTCTCATGATACCACTCTTTGGGGACAGAGGTCCTGCATGGGCAGTTAGAGCACAGTGACTCTTGTTGTTTATTTAATAAATAACACTCTTAGGTGACATCAGTGGTCACCCAAGGCTCTTGACATGAGCTGCCTCAGCTATGGAAGCCTTCTGGATCCAGTAGCTTGATAAAGCCATAAGCAAAGTGGGAATTCTCTCTTCCCTTTAGAGAAAAGTACCTCCTTCTTTGGTGACCACTTCTTTCCACTGGGGTCTCAACCACAGGGATCCTTTTCATAGGACATTTTTTCCCCAGAGTATCTTGGCTTTCCATGTCTGAAATGCTCCCCCTGGGCTTTCCAGCCAGACTTAAGGCATTTCAATGCCTTAAGGGCTGATTCTGGTGTAAGACTGCTAATTAAAACGACTGTCATTCTATGAGTCTGCTGTATGGACTGCTTCCCATGTGCAGCTAAAACTTACTGTGTCACAATGCAGGCTAAAAAGATTTTTTTTAAGTTTATTTACTTATTTGAAAGTTAGAGCTACAAAGAGGGGGAGAGAGAGAAAGCAATCTTCCATCCATTAGTTTACTCGCCATCTCCCCAAATGGCCACAACATCCAGGGCTGGGCCAGGCCAAAGCCAGGAGCTAGGAGTTTCTTCAGGTCTCCCACATGGGTAGCAGGGGCCCAAGTACTTGGGCCATTTGCTGCTGCTTTCCCAGGCTATTAGCAGGGAACTGGGTCAGAAGTGGAGCAGCTGGGACTTGAACCAGCGCCCATATGAGATGCCGGCACTGTAGGTGGTAGGCTGGCTTACCTGCTACGACATGGCGTAGGTCTCAAAAAGGACTAAATTTGTTAAAAATCTGTAGTAAACTCTCACATTTGCACAGGAAGACTTTTCAAGGCCACTGCCCACTCCAGCTGCCCATTCTGAAGAGCCCGCCTTTGGGCAGGGTGTCGTGGGAAGTGCCCCACCCAATTCACAGAAAGACACTGCACCCAGGGAGGCAGAGTCAGTGCCAAAGGTCACGCGGCTGGGCGGTGTCTGGCAAGGCCGGATCTCAGCTCCCTCATTTAACAATGTTCACTGAGCCGCTACGCACCAGGCATTATGTGTTATTTAACCCTCTGACCACCTGTGAGGTAGGTGGTGTTGGTCTCCCCACTTTAAGGATGGGGAAAGGACGACCCAGGCCCTGATGCTTCCAACCTGAGGAGCTCACCATCTGTGTTAGAGGCCCGGAGGGGTGCCCAGGCTCTGCACCCACAGTCCCCAGGGGCAGGGCCTGCAGCCCTGTGGGAGGCTTTGCTGGAAGCCAGCCTGGGCTGCCTGTGCTCAGCTTATCTGCCGCCCTCTCCCCAGGCCCTGCACTTATTTCTCTTCCAGGAAGCCTTCTCAAACGTCTGCAGCTCCAGCAGCTGCCCTCCCAGGACTCCTCACTAATCCCCCTCCAAGTCCCTGGAGTACCTGGGCAGGGCCCAGATCTCTGGGTGGGTGACGCTCCGCCCACCTGTGCGCCGGCAGACTCCAGCCACACGGCAGTGCCGGGGTGGGTGCCATGGTGTGGCGCTCCTCCAGCGTCTGCCCCGGGGAATGGACAGGGAGCCCAGCGACAGGGCTGCCCGCTCAGGCTCCAGCCCCTTGGGCAGGTTCAGGTCACGGGGCCCCCTGGGGGTGTGACCGGGGTGCCCCATTCCCACCTGCTCCTCTCTGAAGTGGCCCTCAGCAGGTGGCCGTGAGCACATGGGCTCTGTCCTCACGGCAGGGCCCCAATGTCCATCCATCCTCATTCTGCCTCCCGAGACGACCGGGAGCCCCGTGTCAGCAGGGCCCCTGAGCACCCTGCCCTGCCCACACCCCCTGGGCTGGCGCTGCGCCTGGCAGCCGGGAGGGCTGGGGTGACAGGGAGGCTGACGCTGCAATGCCTGCCTTCCCAGCTGCCTCGCTCCGCACAGCACGGGGGGCTGTCACTCAGCTGTCAGGTGAAGGCACGCCAGACAAGACCAGCTCCCTGCCACTGCGGCAAGCGCCTTTCTTGCACGTGCCCAGACACGGGTGTAGTGTCTACAGGGAGGGGGTGGAGGGCCGGGAGGCAGGAGACGGCTGCCGCAGCTGTCAGCCAGATCAGCAGGCCCACCTGTTCTAGGCAGGACAACCGCGCAGGACCGGCCTCTCCCAGGGCTCCTGGCCCCCGGCAGCCCCATCTCCAGAGCTTCTTCCACTTAGTGAGGCGCTGAGATGGGGACTGGAGAGCCGCAGGCGGGCGGCAGGAAGACCGAGGGACGGCCCCTGGGGCATGGCAACTCCAAGGCGCAGGCCCTGATGCACACGACAGGGAGCCAGACACATGCACAGAGAAGCCACAAAGGCAAGACACCCGCACAGAGACAACAACTGCAGCCGAGTCACCCCTCTGAGGGCCTGGAGGCAGTGCGGAGACACACACAACACTGCACAACACCAGGAGGAGGGCATGGCTCGGACCCCTCCCTGGGCTGGCCTGCAAAGACACAAAGACTAGAGGGCCCTGGAGCCCCTTCCCCTGCAGGGCTAGGAATGGGGCCACCACCGGTCCCCCACAGCATGGTGTCTCCAAGCCCAGCAGGTCCAGTTGCAGGGAGAGGACCCTGCCTCCCCTGCCCTGCACATCCACCTACCTCCCCACTGCTGGGGAGGCTAGAAATCTTCCGGAGGGGTGGGCCCAGGACCCCCTTAGCAACAGCCTCGGCCTCCACATTGATCCGCTTCCTGAGCTAAGGACCCCTGGGCCCGGACCCTTGACACCCCCCCTGCCCTCAATCTCCCTGGGTCCATCACAGGTCAGAGCCCCCAGTTCCGTGGCCCCCAGCTGGGATGACCGACTGACTCCCAGCCCTCTGCCCATGCCTCCCTCAGTTTCTCACGCTGGCTGAGCCCCAGGCCGAGGTGTAGGCCAGGCCCCTGGCTGTCTCTTCCCCTCCCCCTCCCCATACCTGGGCCTCCCCGGGCTCCTCGGCGTCAGCGCCGCCGCCGCCCCCGGCGGGCTCCCCGGAGGCAGCGGCCGGGCCCAGATCACGCATGTCTTCCAGCGCGATGGTGAACTGGGCCAGGGTCTTCACCATCTGCAGCATGCGGCCGGCCCGCCGCCGAAGCGGGACGCCGCGGCGGCGGAGGGGGCGGGGGTCGGCACGGGGTCGGGGGGCCCCCTCCTCCCCTCGGTCGGCCACGGGCTCTGCCCGGCCGCGGCGGCGGTCGCGGTGTCAGCCCCAGCGCCGATCTGAGCGCTGCGGCCCGGCGGGCGGTGGCGCTGTTGCCTCCTGCGCGCAGGGAGTGCGCCCGGCCGCCGGCCCCGCGCGCGCCGCGTCGCTGGGGGAGGGGGTCTCCGCCCTCGGCGCGCCGCCGCCCCATCTCCCCCAGCGCGCCCCGGCGTCGCGGCGTCCGCTCACTGGCCGTACCCCAGCCCCAGGACACAGGTCAGCGCACAGCCGTGGGCAAAGGCGGCGAACGCAGCGTGGGCACACCCAGCGTGGGCACACCCCACGCTCAGGTTTACACCCTGCACCCTTGGGGGCCCACACAGGGGCACGCAAGTTCCTGCATCCAGAACAGGCCCCTGTGCGTGGAAACCAGCCCGCATCGCCCGGTTCAGGGCCAGGGGCAGCCGCAGCAGCCAGTAGTGGTCCGTGCAGACCTGCCCCACGGCTGCAGGGACAGGTGCTTCCGTGGTCACATGGCTGTGGCCAGACCCATTCCGCCTCCCACCCACAGTTCCAGCGCTGCCACAAGGCCCCACCTAGGCCTCAGTGGAGCACCTGAGAAGTCCTCCACGCACTGAGACCCCGCCAGCGCGCCCAGGCTGTAATCCCAAGCAGGATTCCCCAGCACATGCTGCCTCAACCCCAGGGAGATGGCAGAAGCAATCCGGGCCTCTGTTCATCAGGCTGGGGTGAGGGGCCGTGGGCGAAACGGTGTTTCCCACACTCACAAGCCCTCAGCTCACTCCTCCAGTACCTGCTTT